AAGCCATTCAGATGAGAGAGCAGATTGGAGGGAAATACTTGGCAGCACCCAGAAGAAAAGAGAGATGTTCTGCCCTGGACAGCTTAGGCTAAGGCAGACCAAGATGGTCATTGAGGGCCATTACAAAGGGCAAGATTAGAAAAGGTCAGATGCTAAAGCATCCCTTTGTCTGCGATGGCTTGAGGAATCCAGTCTCGGCCGAATCCAGGTCATCAGTTAGATTTATTCCATGCAATCAGCAAATAGCTATCAAGCACCTACTATGTCCTAGGCACTTGTTAGGTGCCTGAAATACAAGGGAAAAAAGAGGTCTCTGCCCTCAAGGAGCTTATTATATTCACTGGGGTGCATACAATATGTATACAGATAAACAAAGACAAAATATATGCAAAACAAGTAATCTTTAAAAAATATTTGGAGGGGAGAGTTTAACGATTGAAGCCAAAGACCACCTTGAGAGGTAGCCTTTGAATTCTGCTTTGAATGGAGTCAGTAATTATAAGGAGAGGAAGGTGGAAGTGAGCATATATTTATTAAGTACCTACTACATGTTAAGTGCTTTACAAATATTATCTCATCTGAGGTGAAAATGAGGAAGGAGGACACCCAGGCATGAGGGCAGCCTATGCAAAGGTAAATAGCAAGAGATGAAATGTCTTATACAGGGAGAAGAAAGCTGGCCAGGGTGGATAGAAGGTAGAGGACGCAAAGGGAAAGAATGAGAAGTGAGTCTGGAAAGAAACATGGGAGTCAGATCAAAAAAGGCCTATAAGGTTGAACAGAAGAGCCTATACTTTATCGTAGAAGCCATGGAGAGTCACTGGAGCTGCTTCAGGGAAGGAGTGACATCCAGTTCTGACAGAGTTATACCTTAGGATAGTATGGGTGAATGGGAAGTGGTGTTCTCAGCACCAGGGACAAATTTTCTGGATGCTCGTTAGCCAACCCACGGTATTGGCAGAAGTATTTGGGGGTATGGCTGGCAAACATTCTCTCTCTGTCTCTGTCTCTGTCTCTGTCTCTGTCTCTCTCCTGAATTCTCTGGAACATTAATGACCTATGCTTTTCACATTGGGAATTAGTCTATGACAAAACACGCCCTTTTGGTTGTATCCTCATAAGAAGAATTTAACGATGAGCAGCTCCCCAAAGAGAATGTTGGAAGAGTCTTAATCAGTAGTACCAGAGAATTCAATCAAGTGAGTGCTCGGGTAAACTGAGCTCATTAAGACACTTGCTCTAGCTGAACATTGGGATGGCCTAGACTGCTAGCTAGTTCTCTCTCTGTCTCTGTCTCTCTGTCTGTCTCTCTCTCTGTCTCTGTCTCTCTGTCTGTCCCTCTCTCCCTTCCTCCCTCTTTCTGTCTGTCTGTCTGTCCATATCCATATTTGTGATTTTATCTGCATTGGGAGTTCCCAGTGAGGACACTTCCCCCCTTTTTGCAGATTGCTACTTGCTTTTCTATTTGTAGACTGTCTCAGAGAGTTGCCTGGGTCACTGAGAGTTTAGGAGATCACACAGCTTCTTTCCTGCCAGGAGGAGGGTAAAACTAAGATCTTCCTGACTATGAAGTCAGTTTTCTATCAGAAAAAAGAAAGAAAGAAGACTATTACCAAGCAAAACCACTCCTGGCTGGGTTGGAGGTGCTTGCAAATGTATAGATGTCACACAATTAATGCAGCCTCTGGGACAACAGAAAAGAAAACTTGGTCCTTGTCTACAAATAATGCATTGGTATAGACCAGTAGTGTCAATCATTGACCAATAAGAGAAAGTTTTGTGCACAGAGGAGTACAGGAAAACTTGCTACAGCATCCTGGGGTGGCCTATCGGGAGACTTCCTTTCAATAATTGTCCTTTGCTCTTATCTCCCTGACAGAGAGAAACTTCTGGTCAATGGCAGACCACAAACACATAGAGATGGGGAAGCAAGAGGTTGGGGTGACTCATCCCCTGCAGAACTGAGGGATGTGCTAGGGGTTTTCTGCTGAAATCTGTTTGTAGGCTAGGGACAAAACCCCAGAAATGCTAGATCCCACAGAATGAAGCCAAGGCCACCCTCTCCTTCATACTCTGAAGTCTGGCTTCTTCCTTCATCATTCATATGAATACTGCTCTCTCTAACACTACCAGTCTTCTCTTAATTATCCAATTTAATGGCTTTTTTTTCATTCCAGGTCACATTTACCAACCATGGGTAGCCCCAAGGCTCTTTCCCAGGCCTTCTTCTCTTCTATATTTTTCACTTTCTGATCTCAGCTCTCATTGATTCAATTATCATCCCTGTGCTGATGATTTTTAGGTCCTCTTTGGGGTAGCTCAACTTGGAAGGAAGTTGGTTTTCTTCCTTATGGCAAGCTTCTTTCCAACTCCTTGGTTCTCTCCTCTAGAGCCAAATGCCCACGTCAAGGCCTTCCTTTACATGCTGGCTGTTCAGATACTTGAAGATACACATCCTCCCCCCCCGCCCCCCGACCCTGAGCTTTCTCTTCTTCAGACTAAGCTTTCGAAGCTTATTCAACTGCTCTTCATGTAGCATGGACTGGAGAACCTTCAGCATCCTGATTGCTCTCCTCTGGATAACTGCCATCTTATCAATATCAGTCTTAAAAGGGGCTGCTCAGAACGGAACAACAACAAATAATATTCCAGCTGAGGTTTGACAATTGGACTACCACCTCCTTATTCCTAGAAACTCTCTATCTTTTAAAAACATTCTTATTTCATTATGTATTTCCCAATGACATGTACAAAATAAATAATATTTTTTTTAAAATTTTGAGTTCCAAATTCTCTCCCTCCAACTCCTTCCCCCTCCTTGAGAGGGCAAGCAATTTGATACAATTATCCAGCCCTAACCTCTCTTTGAATGACATGAAATCATGCAAAACATAGTTCCATATTACCCATGTTGCAAAGGAAAACACAAAATAAAACACTAAAAATAAAGAGGGGAAAAGAAGTGTTTCAATCTGCACTCAGAGTCTATCAGTTGTTTCTCTGGAGGTGGATAGCATTTCTTATCATGGGTCCTTCGGAATTGTCTTGCATCATTGTCCTGCTGAGAATAGCTAAGTCATTCACAGTTGACCATTGTACAATATAGCTGTTACTGTGTACACTGTTCTCCTGCTTCTGCTCACTTCACTTTGCATCAGTTCATATAAGTATTCCCAGGTGTTTCTGAGACAATCCTGCTCATCATTTCTTATAGCACAACAGTATTCCATCACAATCGTATACCACAACTTATTCAACCATTCCTCAGTTGGAGGGCATTTCCTTGATTTCCAATTCTTTGTCATCACAAAAAGAGCTGCTATAAATAATTTTGTATGTCCCTTTCCTTTTGATGCTTTGAGCATATAAACCTAATGGTGGTGTGGCTGGGTCCAAGGGTATGCACAGTTTTCTAGCCCTTTGGGCATAATTCCAAATTACTTTCCAGAATGGTCAGATGAGATCACAACTGCACCAACAGTGCATTAGTATCCCAATTTTTCCACATCCTCACAAACATCTGTCATTTTCCTTTTCTGTCATGTTAGCTAATCCGATAGGTGTGAGGTAGTAGAGTTGTTTTTGTTTTGTTTTGTTTGGGCTAGGCAGTTGGATTAAGTGACTTGCCCAGGGTCACACAGCTAGTAAGTGTCAAGTGTCTATGGCTGCATTTGAACTCAGGTCCTGATTCCAGGGCCAGTACTCTATCCACTGCACCACCTAGCTGCCCCTAGAGTTGTTTAAATGTGCATTTCTCTAATTATTTGTGATTTAGAGCATTTTATATGACTATTAACAGCTTTGATTTCTTCTCAAAGCTGCCTGTTCATATCCTTTGACCATTTATCAACCAGAAACCAAGTATCTCTTAAGGCCAGTATGACATAGACTCTTCTGTCTTCCATCTCACTCAACTGACATCCATGTAGCTTGCATCCCACCAAAACCTCCAGATTTTCTTCTTTTTTTCTTTAAAGACAAATTATTTCTATCCATCATTCTCCCATTCTGTACCTATGAAATTGATTTTTTAACCCAAATGTAAGACTTGACTTTTGCCCCAATTGAATTCCTAGTCTAGCCTGTCAAGAGGGGCAACTAGGTGGCACAGTGGATAGACATGAGGCCTGAAGTCAGGAAGACCTGAGTTCAAATCTGACCTCAGGCACTTTCTACTTGTGTAACTGTGAGCATATCACTTAGCCCTATTTGCTTAGGTTCCCTCATCTGTAAAATGAGCTGGATAAGGAAATGGCAAACCACTCTAGTATCTTTGGCAAGAAAACCCCAAAAGGGGTCACAAAGAGTTGGACATGACTGAAAATGATTAAACAACAAAAAAGCCTGTCAAGATATTTTTGGATCCTGACTCTATTGTCCAGTACATTAGCTACTTCTAGCTCATTGCAAATGCCTTCTATGCCTTTATCCAAGTCAACCGTAAGAGTTCAATCACTCCAGAATCCACCTCAATTTACCACAGTCTACTCCAAATTTTGCTATCTTCTTCATGAGATTTCATGAGATACTTCAGTAAATGCTTTGCTAAAGTCTAGGCAAACAATATCTATTCTTTAGGAACCCTATCAAAAAGCATATGTTTTTAATGTCTCATGGCCTGTTGATGAAGACATGTTTCATCATCTATGTAATGATTTCATCCTTTTCTAGATGTTCATCTTTAACCTTTGGTTCTAGACTGTTCACAGAAATTGGTGGCAAGCTTACTCAATAATTTCAAGACTCTGCTATTTTCCTTTTTTAAAAAAAATCAAGATTTTGCCTTTCTTTGGTCACATCTCCTTCTTTAATGATCTTTCAAATTTCATCGACATTTACTCTGCAGTCATATTGGACATGTATACACAGGCACACACTCACAGGCACATAGACACACATACATCAGTACGCATAACTGTTCTGCACATCAAGTTGAGTTTTCAATGTTCCTTTAGGAATAATGACCACTACAGAAATTGATCATAAGAACTGATTCTTACCGACTGCACCCAGGGTCGTCTCCGGTGGATTTCCAGGTTCCTCCTCAAAACTCTGCACCTGAGACGTCCAAAGACAACAACAGGTCCATCAGTCATTTCTCCTTAGTCTTTGCCTCCCTATGCTGGCATTGAACCTGGCAAACTTTAAAGCTATAGAAACCTCCAGATTGTTTCCTCTTACATACTCTTTCTATAATCATATAGACCAATTTACTACTCCCTGCTTAGAAATGTCGGCCTCTTGGGGAACTGGGGAGGGCAACTAGTCACTAAGTTCATGTTTCAGGGCAATAAACAATACCTGAGACTATGAAAGGTCAAAGGCCACTTGAGCTCCAGGAAATAGTGTCTCCTCCTGGGACATGGATTGACAACTTAGTTTTTTGGGGTTTTTTTGGGCATTTCTCTCATGCACATGACATTATTTTTTTGAGTTTTTTTATATACAACTATGCCTTAGCTACCCTACTTGACTATAAACCTCATGAGAACGAGAACCCTGACTTACATATATTTTTATCCTTCTTAACACCAGGCAGAGAGCATTCCACATTCTTGGTTTTGGTGGGGGTTTTTTTTTTGTTTGTTTTTGTTTTGTTTTGTTTTTGTCGGGCAATGAGGCTTAAGTGACTTGCCCAGGGTCACACAGCTAGTAAGTGTTATGTATCTGAGGCCAAATTTGAACTCAGGTCCTCCTGAATCCAGGGCCAGTGCTCTATCCACTGCACCACCTAGCTGCCCTGGTTTTGTTTTTTTTTGCACAAGACCTCTGATGTCATTGGTACGGGAGACTCCAGTCCTTCACCCATCTAGATTCTCCATAATCTAGACCATTGTGCATCTTGTACTCTGGAAGAATCTCCTGGGGCATTGAGAAATTAGGTGCCTTGCCCAGAATCACATAGTCAGTGTAGAAACAGAAACAGGATTTGAACTCAGGTCTCTCTGGGTCCAAGACTACCTGTGTACCTCCCCTGCATTGTGTCATAATTAAATTATAGCATTCTAATGCAGAAAGGACCTCAGAGGCCATCTAGTTCAATACTCTTATTATCGAGTGGAGGAAACTGAGGCTCATGGAGGTTAAGTGATTTGTCAAAAACACGCAAGGAGTAAACATGAGAGGTAGAATTTGAACTCGGGTTTTCCAAATCCAGAGGGAGTATTCTTTCCACTCTTCCATGACGCCTTCTTCCAGTTCAATTGGATTAAATTACCTGTGTACCAGGAACCACTGGAACAATAGCATAAGGACCAATTTAGTCTCACCTTTCCAATGATGATGATTATGATGACGATTTCTTATACTTCCATCTATTGCTCCTAATTCTAATCTCTGGGTCGAACAGAGCAGCTCTAAACTGGCTTCCACTAAATTCAATGAGATATTTGTAAAACACTTAGCATGGTGCCTGGCACACAGTAGGAGCTTAATACATGCTTATTCTCTTCCCATCCCTTGTACTCTTTCAAACACTTGAAAATAATGAACACATCTGCTATAGTGGGAAGATTGCTGGGTTTGGAGTTCAAATTTTCATTCTACCACCTACTTACTTGGGTGACCTTTGACATAATCCCTAAGCTTTCCCATTTATATCTTGTTTGTACATAGTTGCTTGCATTTTGTCTTCTCTATTAGATTGTGAGCTCCCTGTGGGCAGGGATTGTGTTTACCTTTATTTGTAACCTCAGAGTTTAGCACATGGTAAGCACTTTAATAAATGTGTGTTGACGTAGTTTTTCTGTGAGTGAGTTAACTTGACTTCTCTGGGCCTCAGTTTCCATATCTATGAAATGAGGGGGCTGGGCTAGATGACATCTAAGATCCCTTCCAGCTGTGGTCAGATGATGCCCCTTGGCTTCTCTTCTCCAGTCTAAATATCCCCAGTCTCTCAGTCAGTCACATGAAAGACATATACTTTTCAAGGTGAGGGAGGCGGAAAGAGAAGGGGCCATATACTTCTGCCAGGTTCATGCATATTTTCCATTTCTTGTAATTGGATTTTAAGGTTTGTCTTTCAAAAACAAATATGCAACCTTGCAAGGGCCCCTATTTAAGATGCAACTCCCAAGGCTCTCATTACTCTTCTATCAATAGGAAAACAAACAGATTTTCTCAGGCTGTGTCGTCAGGAATGTACTTTATATTTTGCCTAAGGATTAACAAATTATAAATGTGGGGCCCTTCTTGGAAACGCTTTTCAGAATACAAAAGTTGCCTGCGTAATGATCAGGGAAAATGTAGCAAGGATGACATAATATGAAATTTCACATATCCCAGAGTCCCCTGGACTGGAAGAGACCCCAGAAGCCCTGTCCTGAAACACCTGAACACAAAATCCCCCAATAACACTCCTGCCACATGGCCACCCAGGCTTCCTTCAAACACCTTCAGTAACAGGGAGCTCACTACCTCCCTAGGCAGCCCGTCTCACTTTGGGAGGGTTCTCGTGGCTCATTGGTTAGAAGTTTCTCTCTGTATCCAGCCCCAAATCTACTTCTCACAAGTGCTGCCTGCTCCTCTCTATCTTTGTTCTGCCTTGTGTTGCACGTGGGGAATGCCTTCCATTAGCTCACTCCTACCATGGTTCAGGGCCTAGATCAAGTCCTACAATACCTGGGAGACTCTCCCTGGTTCCATCTCTCCTGTCTCTGACTCCAGATTTCACTTTCTGTTGGAGAATTTGGCTGAATAGGAAAGCTTATGGCATTATGTCTTCCTTGTTACTCTAGTAGGTTATAAGTGCTCTGGTGACCCAAGGCTGCTTCTCATGCTTCTTGGCATCTCTGAAACACTGAGGCAGTTAAGTGACCCCCAATATATGTGAGAGGTGGGAGTGGAACTCAAGTCTACCCTGACCCTGAAGTAGAGTTCTATCCACTGTACCACACTGCCTCTCAAGGACGTGCAAACATGGCAATGTTTGCTGTGGACGCCATTTACCTTTCCACATAGCTGGAGTTCGAGTGAGGCCCTGATTTTAGGATGTAAAGATTCTTATGGGCGGGGATTGCTCAGATTTGGTCTCGGCAACCCCAGTGCCCAGCACAATGACTTGCACGTCGGAGGCCACTTAATTAAATTTTACTGAATTAAAGTTAGTTGAAGATGATGATCAGAAAGCTGGGGGCCCGTCGTTTCACATCATTTCCCTCATCTCTGGGTTAGCTGGACTCAATGGCTTTTGAGGGCCAGGTCCAGATCGAGGGCCACCTATCGTCCTATGATGTCACTTAACCACCCTGGGCCTCCTTTCCTTATCCATAAAGTGCAGAGGTTGGGCTAATGGGCCTCTCCAGTGTATTCTAGTTCTAAATCAAAGCTCCTCCAAGCTAACCCTAGGGCATCACATGTCTAAGAGGACCTTGCTCAGTGTGTGGTCTAGACGTTAGGTTCTAGGCTAGGCCAGAGGAGGGAGGGATTGCTGTGGGCTGGGGTGGTCAGGAAAGCCTTCCCAGGGAGGATCCCGGCTGGACCTTGGAGGATAGCTAGGTTTCCAACAGGTGGAGGGAACTGGGCCAAATCATACTGACCTCTTCCATTTCAAAAGAGTCGGGTGGCTTTGCATCCATGTGCACCACCTGCCTGAGTCTGTGGGACAGAAGCAGGCCTTTCTCCTGGAAGCCTCTGTCTCTTATTGGCCCTTCTGGAGCACAAGGAAGGGGCGGCTGCTTTAGGGACATGGACAGGAGAGGAGGCCACGGCTTGCCTGGAGCAGCTGGTGACGCTTCATGGGACCCCAGCTTATTGACGCCCAGGGGAGGTTGCTCTTCTATCAAAGGACATAGGTGGCTTTGGTCGGCAAAGTTCATCCTGACGGACTGGAGAGAGGGGCATCTGTCTGGCTCAGCAGGGGTGGCAGGAAGGTCTCCCTTCACCCTGAGTGACTCAGCGTGGCCCTGCACGCAATCCCTTCTGAACGTCTGTTTGGAGGCTCTCCTCAAGAGTTGGCTGATCCTTCTCCGTCTGTCGTGGATCGCAGTCACCTGGGCCACCTCGGGCTTCTCTGCCTCCACCTTCTCCTGGCCTTCCCTCTGCAGGCTGTGGACATCATTCAGCAGAGAGGAGAAGGCATTAGTCACATGGTCCAGCACTTCCAGCTGTCGGAACCGTCCTGAATGAGACAAGGAAACAGAGATCCGTGAAACAGTCTTTCAATCCAACCACCAGACTGTTATCAAGATTCCTGAGGACTGCGCTTTGGTCAGTGGAACTGGCTGGGGGCTGAGACCCTGTACGTAAGAACAGCTCTCAGTCTCTCCCCTCACCCAGCTGTCCCCTTAGTTAAGCCCTCTTCACCTCTCACTTACATTATTGCAATGGCCTCCTCGTGGGTCTCCCTGCCTCCAGTCTCTCCCCATTCCAGTCCATCCTACACACAGTGGCTGAAGAGATTTTGTTAAGCACAGATGGGACTGTGTCCTTCCCTACTCAAGAAAGTCCAGCCTCTAGGATAAGCTAGGAACTCTTCTGCTTATCCTTTAGAGCCCTACACACCTGCTCCCAGCCTGCCTTCCCAGCCTCATTGGACATCACCTCCTCTCCCACACTTTGAGATCCAACCAGATCGGCCTTCTCTCTATTTTCTCACAGAGGACTCCATCTCTCACCTCCATCCGTCTGCACTGGCCATTCTCCATGCCTGAAGTAGACTTTTCTTCCCCCTACTCCACAGACTTTCCCTTTCAGACTCAGCTCTGACACCACTTTCTTCTCAAAGCTTCCCTCCCTCCCAAGCTACTTTGTATTTCATTGTATTTATCTTCTTAATATTTGTTACTTACACAATTATATGCTTACTTTTGTCCTTGCCACCTTCCCCATTACAATATAAAATCTTTGAGAGTAGCTTTTATTCCATTCATTGCATTTATACACCCACAGCCTAGCACAATGCTTGGCATATTCAGCTACTTATTAAATGCTTCTTGATTGATTAATTAGGCAAGATGTTGGGAAGACCCTAAACTTTTATGAACATCCACTATAGGTGTGGGGCAGCCAGGTGGTACAGTGTATAAAGCCTGGAGTCAGGAAGACCTGAGTTCGAATCTGGCCTCAGATACTTACTAGTTTTAACTTATTTATAACAATAGTTAGCATTGGTAGAGAATTTTACAAAGTGCTTTACAAATATTATCTCATTTGATCCTCATAACAACCTTGGAGGTAAGTAATAATTTTCTCAATAATTATCTCAATTTTACAGATGAGGAAACTAAGGTAAATAGAGGTTTGGTTTTTTTTTAATTACTTGATCAGGGTCACACCACTAGTAAGTGTCTAAGGCAGGATTCAAACTCAGGTCTTCCTGGCCCCAAGAGTTCTCTCTATTGCACCACCCAGCCCCCCTTACACCTCTTCATTGGATTATTATGAGAGCCTTCTAATTGGTTTTCCTGCCTAAAGTTTCTTCCTACTCCCTTACATCCTTAACTCAGCTGCCAAAGGGATTTTACTAAAGCCCAGCTCTGACCCTTTTCTAAAAGCTCCTGAGGCCACCTATGACCATGAGGATCAAATAGAAACCTTCTGTTTGCTTTGAAAGCTCTTCACAACCTGGGTCCTTCCCACCTTTCCAGTTTTCTTATGCTTGACTTCCCTCCCTGCTCTCCATAGTCCAACTATGCTGATCTTATCCTTGAAACTCTATCTCTCAATTCTGTGTCTTTGTAATGACAAAGGACTTCCTATGTTATAATAATAGCCAGAAATTTATTTTGTTGTTGTTCAGTCATGTCTGATTCTTTGTGACCCCATTTGTTGTTTTCTTAGCAGAGATACAGGAGTGGTTTGCCATTTTCTTCTCAAGCTTGTTTTTGCAGATGAAGAAACTGAGGCAAACAGGCTTGAATGACTTGTCCAAGGTCACACATCTAGTGAGACTGGATTTGAACTCAGGTCTTCCTAAGTCCAGGTACAGTGCTCTATTCATTGAGCCTCCCAGCTGCCTCCTAACCAGATATTTTAGGAATACTTGAATGCCAAACCTTGAGTAACTTGGAGCACTACGCCATAATGACTGAAGGGGATGGAAGAGAGCTGAACAATCCTGTCTGAAGCTGGCTGACATCCCTTTCATAAAACGGAGGAGGGGGGAGGAGTAGGAGCCGCTGGTCCCCGGGCTCCATGCAGTGTCCGCGCAGGCTGCCCTCACCAGCCTCCTGCCTCCCAGGATCTGACTCACCATACAAGTCAGGGCTCTCAAGGTCCATCCTCTGTTTGTGAGCTTCCAGGAACACCCAGATGTTGATGCCTTTTGCTGTAGAGTTACCCCTGAGGAAACGGGCTGGGATTTTAGTGCAGATGTCTGGCTCCTCGGCCCCGAACCCCAGCTCCAGGAGAATTTCCACTGGATCTTTTTGCCAGAATTCCAGCCATTCTGAAATGCTGCAGCAGGTAGAAGCATGGTCATCATTAAATAGTCACATCCCATTTGGGTAGAGGTGACATCCGGAAGTGTTAACTCTCTGATGCTCAGTGGGGGAGCTTAGCTTGGGCAGGGAGGCCAGGGAGCCTCTGAAAAAGCCCCTGACCAAACCTGACTAATGGCAGAGCTGCTCTGACCCTCAATCAGTACCTATTTACTCTTGTTTTAAGTACAATTCTAACAGACTTGGCTATCTGGGTCTCCAGTCATAATAGATCTAAACAGACAGAATTAAAGACCAGAGCAAGGAGATGGGAAAAGTACTACAAGTAAGAAGCAGAAAGAAATAATGGCTAACAGAAATAAGGAATGCAGAAAAGCCATTAACAAATAAACTCCCAAACTCAAAAAAAACACAGTAGTTCAGAGCCATTTGACATAGTGGCAAATACACCCACACACTCCAAAAACCCTTTGAGGAATACCGGTATAATAAGCAGCGTTCATTAAAAATGACCCTGAGCCATCAGAATGGGTTGAGTTATGATGACTATGCCCTCCTCAGTGTGATATGCTTCCTCTAAAGTCACAGGGATAGAATGTTGGCCTTGGAGTCAGGAACACTCACGTTCAAATCCCACCTTGGACACTTACTAGCTATGCAAGCCTAGACAAGTCACTCCATTTTTACGTACCTAAAGCAACTCCCTAGGAGATATTTCCAAGGTCAGAGGGATTGAAATCTGTGCCAGAAAATGGACTTTTGACTTCAGGAGTTCCCTACATTGATGAAATCACAGGTTCTTCCAATACTCATGTCTGTCTCTACTAAAGGTCTACTCTGATGCCTCACTAGGGCATGGAAACCACCCTAAGTTCTTGAAGATTTACATCCCTGGAGTCCGAGCTGTGACAGTTACTACTATTTTGGAAAGAATTCCAGGATGGACTTGAGGAGAGATCATCACTCTATCATTGTGGGGGGATCAACCTTGCTGATTTTGAAAGGAATATGACAGGGTAGATTTCAGGATGGTCAGGTGATTCTGTGGTCACTATGACAACTTGCAAATATCATCTTCTAAGTCACACTTGTTGTTCAGTAATTTTTCACTTGTGTCTGACTTTTCATGACCCCATTTAGGGTTTTCTTGGCAGAGACACTAGAGTGGATTGCCACGTCTTTCTCCAACTCAGTTTTACAGATGAGGAAATTGAGGCAAACAGGATTAAGGACTCACCCGAGATCACACAACTATGAAGTGTCTGAGATCAGATTTGAACTCAGAAAGATGACTCTTCCTGATTCCAGACCCAGTACTCTATCCACTGCACCACCCAGCTGCTCTTCTAAGTCATAGAGAGATAGATTTAGAACTGGAAGGGACTACAGAGGTGATTCACTCCAAAGCCCTCATTTTTCAAAATAGGGAAACTGAGGCCCAGAGAGGTTTAATGACTTGACTGAGATCACACAGGTAGTCCATAGCAGAGCCAGAGTGTGAACTTGGAAACTGATTCCAAACCCATCACTCTTTCCACTCTGACCAGTCATTGGCAGGATTATACATACTATCAATACATCATCTAGAGCAGGGCTTCTTAAACTTTTTCTGCTTCTGATCCCTTTTCGCATTTTGACAGCAGCATTCTCATTGGCATCGCATGACCTGGGGGCATGCACAGTGCAAAGTGCACATGCTTTGTGTTCAGAACCAACGCTGCAGTGAAGTTGCTCAGCGTTAACACTGGCAAGCACTGCCAGAAACACCTCAAATTCATTTGATTTTTGATTAATGTTTGGTCATTGCACATTCAAAAACCTTTTACTGTTGCCAAATTTTTTGACCCCATATGGGATTGTGACCCACAGTTTAAGAAGCACTGATCTAGAGGACCTTGAAGGAAATCTATTCTCTTTAAGATGCAGGGGAGCAAAGGTTTCTATGAAAAATGGTTAATTGTGTTTTTAAATTGATGTTTAATATGATAAGCTTCCAATATCTGGAAAATTCACTTTGTTTATTCCCAAAGTCCTTCAAATGGGGAATTTCTACACTCTAACTTTGACACTTTTTGATTCTAATTTTTTTTCTATTGTCTTTATTGAAAAATGTGAAGGTTCAAAGCACAGGGAGTCTTCAGCTGTTCAGTTGTTATTCTCTGAGGTTGCTATTGAGGTCTCCCATGGCTAAAATGTTTTCCTTCCTCTCCTCTATCTCTTAGCCTCCCTGGCTTCCTACAGGATTTAGCACAAATTCCACCTTCTTCAGGAGACATTTACCATTCTTCCCACCCACCATTGCTAGTGCCTACCCTCTGAGATTGCCACCCAACTTACTGTATCTTTTCATACATAGTTGCCTGTATGTTGTCTCTCTCATTAGAATGTAAGCTTCTTGAGGGCAGGGACCGTCTTTTGCTTCTTTCTGTTTCCTAAGCTTAGCACAGTGCCTGGCTCATAGTAGGCACTTGAAAAATATTTATTGACTGACATGTCTCCCCATTAGAATGTACACTCCTTGAGGGCAGCATGACTTTACCATTCTTTGCATGGTTACTGCTCAGCACAGTGCCTGGTTTTCTAAGTCATTGCTTTAAAAACGCTTGTTGATTGGCCGATTGACAGGTCCTGGAATTTTTACATGGATCTGTCCCTTCTTCCAAACGTTTTAGAAAACTCATCTTCCTGAGTTCAAATCTGACCTCCGACACTAGCCATGTGACCCTAGGCAAGTCACTTAATCCTGTTTGCCTCAGTTTCCTCATCTGTAAAATGAGCTGAAGAAGGAAACGGCAAGACACTCCAGTATCTCTGCCAAGAAAACCTCAAATGGGGTCATGAGGAGTCAGATATAAGTGGACAAAATGACTGAATAAACAACAAAAAAGTTACAAAAACTTTCATTTGGCAATATATAAATCATTATAGACTGTAGGTCCTAATATTGTACTCCATCTTCCTTTAGCGTTAACATAAAAGGGGGTGGTCTGGCAATTATCCAGTTAGTCTAACCAACATAGGCAGGCAAATGAAATTATTTGAGTCCTAAATAATGCCCCATATTGAATTCAAATTATCCAGTTCAGAGATCTTGATCATTCCCACAAACTCAAGAATCAAGAGCTCCTCTTCATCTGGCCACAGCCTTAGCTTTATTTCTAGAAGTTGCAGCTGGGGGCAGAAGAGCTTCCTGGGAGTGACTTGAGCTTGGAGTTCAGATAGACTCTGTTGTTGCAGCTCACTCCCTGCTGCAAAGCCCTGCATCTTGCCCTGAGTGGATTTCTTGGTGGGCTTAGCATTGCCTATTTCAAAGCCATCACAGTTCATGTGGTCACAAGACCATAGATTTAGAACTGGAATGGACCTTAGAGGTCATTGTGTTCAATCTTCTCATTTTACAGATGAGGAAACTGAGGCCCAGGGAGGCTAATTGACTTATCCAAAGCTGAGCAGCTAGTAAGTGGCAGATCTGGGATTTCATCTGAAGTCTCATAGCTCCACATTTCAGAATCTTTCCTGTGCTGCATCCTTAAATTGGTGCATTTCTATGCTTTGAGAAAAAAATATTGATTCTTAGGCCAATGGAAATATGGCTTTTGGTGTCACCCGGTATTGAGAAGTTACTGACCTTTTGGGTATACTTGGTACAGAAGGGCAGGAGTTGAAACTGGTCCCTCTGGATAATGCTGGAGTCTCTGAAAACTGTTTTAAGGATCTGCAGCAATGGGAAGAAAAAATACAAAGGAACCAATGAGATGTGTTAATGTGGCTAGTTCCCCTGAGATGTCATTAGGATTTTTTTTTTTGCCAGAATGAACATTTGCATTTCAGCTTATTTCCTAACAACAAAATGATAGCCACTCCTTAGCAGAAGAATGTGCCTACCCCTGGGGAATGAGAGTTCTTTTTAGAGAAATCTCTTTTTTTACCTGATGGTAGGTGTTAGCCACTAGGTGTTAGGCACCTGCTAATGCTCGTTCTGAAGGTGACAGAGTGTCTCATTTTTGACAGATGGCAAATCGCTGGGGGAGCTTTGGGGAGCAGCTCCTTCTGAAACAATGGAGGAAAATGCTGAAAAGGAGGAGGTTTCATGAAGAGGGAGTCCCAGCTGGTGACAATCTAGCCCCATTCTTTTCCTAGGATATGATAACAATCCTCAGTCTAGGTGGGACCCTCAAAGCATCAGAGTGGACATCCATACAGTAGGTAAAATGAACTCCTCTCTAGCTACCCCACCTGGGCAAATAATGCAAAAGGCAGTGAACTCTCAAATAGAGTTAAAACAGACTGCAATGTGACATGGTTCAGGAATAACAGGAGTTTAAAAAAGAGAAAGGGACTGGCTCAATGTTAGGGAACTCCCAGATGATGACACTCCCTCTCCCAATGCAGGTAAGGACCTTCTCTCCAACTTAGATTCTTAGAGAAATTCCTAGAGCACTGATAGGTTAAGTGATTTGTCCATGTTCACACAGATAGTATGTGTCAGAGTTAGAACATGAATCCAAGTCTTCTTGGTTCTGAGTCCAATTCTGTAACTGATTGCAGGGGGTGGAAATGGTAAGAATTAGCAAGAGTCAGGGAAGGAATCTTCTATCTTTGAATCTGTAATTTTTTTTAAAAAAAGTAGAGGAATGCTGGGAATGATTTGATACATGCCCTAGTTCCAGATATTTCAAATTTCTAAGGACTAAAATAAAGAATAAACAAGATCCCACCAACAAACATTGTGTAGAGGAAATCACCCTGGGAGGGAGGGGATGGGGCTAGGATCACTGCTTGGGTATATGAACATAGATGATGGATGACAGAGCTGCTTAATTCTTATCTTGCATTGGCTTTCTCTGCCAAATAGAATGATCTTTGTAATAGAAAGATGAAAACAAAAAATAGCCCACAGGGAGTTCAAACACTAGAAAACCAAAGAGTGATAGTAGGAAACCATCTGGCTTTCTTTGATGAGTTCAAGTTGTCCCAAACAAATGGCATCCTAAAAAGGTATTGAAAGAATTGGAAGATGTGGCTGATGAACCACTCTCAAAGACCTTCAAAAGATCATCAAGGATGGAAAAGATGGTCCAGGCCTTGAGCATGGCACATATTCCAACATTCAGAAAAAGGGAAGAGCAAAGGTGTCACAAACTATAGGCCAATGAGCTTGACTGGATCTTGGGTAAAATCCAGAACATATTATTAAGGGGATGTTATTGAACCTCTAGAAAAGGAGGTAATACAAAGGACCAGCATGATGTCAAGTCATTCTAGATTAATCTAATTTCTTTTCTTTCTTTCTTTTTCCTTCCCTCCTTCCTTTCTTTCTTTGTTCCATCCTTCCTTTCTTTCCTTCCTTCCTTCCTTCTTTCTTTCCTTCCTTCCCCCCCTCCCTTTTTTGCCAGTATTAAAGTCCTATTCAGATGCCTCACTGTGGTATGGAAATATCCTTGAATTCACAAAGCTTGTCTAAGTGGAATATGCAGGAGCATAGGTTCTACCAAGCTGAAAAGACCTTAAGTATGGTCAGACTGATAGATGATATTTACTCTCCAAGGAATAGTCTAATGATGGAGCAATTCAGTCCCAGTTGCCTGACTGCGTTCTTGGATTAAAGCAACCCAAGAAAGCAAAATAAGATCCAAAATTTCCCCAATCTTGTGTGACTTCCTTAAGCTTCTGCTGTGATTGTGACAGAGAAAAAGGACCAGAGAGTGCTAAGCACACAATTGTTAACCTATCTAAACTAAACTGTTGGTGTTCTACATGGGAGAGCTTTGGTCACTGGAGAGACCAATAAGTATGAATAATATTGGCATGGAGGTTCTCAATCTAAATGAAACCAAAAGACAAAAGGACTTTGTAGCTAATAAGGAGAGCTCTGAGGAGCTCCTTGTGGAGACAAACAAAAGAGCTGGGTGAAATTGTTCCATCATGTGTTCAAATAACATTCTATGGGATACTTGTTTATCTCATACTGTAGCACTCATGGTGAGAATTCATAAAAAGACCACCATGAAGATGATTACATATTACAAGTCAACATCTGTTGTAGAGGATAAAGAAGCAGAGAAATTTTACAAAGAACTCAATAAGACCCTCCAAATTAAATAAACATATATTGTAACCCACATAGGTGGGTATAAAGAAGGAGAGAAAAAAATTGGAATATGTAGTTCAGGATTAAGAAAGGAAAGAAGGCAAAGTACTCTAGCATATAAGCCCCTACCTATAGGTCATTAATATTTTCTCCAAGAAGAGTGTCATCAGGTGGTGGACATGGAGAATACCGAAATGACATCCCCTAAAATATATTTGGTTATATTTTGGCAGACAGGAAACAGCTGCTTACCAAAGTTATTGTTTCATGAATCAACTATATGAGAATAGTCAGACCACCAATTTGTTAGAACAAAGATAAAAAGCAATATCTAATTGAAAGAAATATAAATGTGAATAATCTGTGGCATGAAAATTGAACAAACTCAGCCTGATTTATCTAAACAAGCATTGCCAGAAAAAGATGGAAAATGGATAAAAGAACAGATATGGGCACAGACTATCACCAATTCTTAAAAAAGTTTAATAGATTGATGTCAATCAGTAGCCACAACAAGAGCACAAAAAAAGAAAGAACTTCAAAACAACATTTGCTAGAAAATTCTTAATATCCTTATAAGTCAGAGTGATGTGCCAGCTAAGGGCAATACCAGTTTCCAAATATACACTCATTTCTAAAATCATATGTATGAACACAGTAGAAGGTTATCAGATACATTGGTCCTAAAATACTGAAAAATAGTAGCAGGAGTGGGGTGGGAATAAATTTAAAGTAAGCTTAGGGGGAAATTCAATTAAGCTTGGTGATAACTGAGAGAATGCAAGGATAAAACTAGAAGTGAGACAACAAATAAATGAAAGCAGAAAATATCTGTTAGGATAACTGTAATAGATGATTCCCTTCATCAGTGATGATAGAGCCACTGCAATTCGACTCTAACATCACAGTTTGCAAAATACTGCATGAGGATGTAGAATTCCACCAAGCAAACAATAAGGAAAAGAGTCACTGGATACAGAAAGATAGTAGGCTGGGAGCAGCACAATTTTTAGGACATTAAGGGACTGGTTCTCAAGATATCTAAAAAACCTGGAAGATACCAAGTCCTCAAGGAAAAATCACAAATGCTCTTACTAATAGTAAAAAATTCCTGTTTGAAAAAAAGATAATGGGGAAAACTTCAATAACTACACATTTAGTTTATCGTTTATACAAAATCTTTGAAAAATTATCTATATGTATATTGAAGGAATCCTTGATTAAGATGGACAAATGGATCAGACCTTGCCAAATGATATTCATTCATTCAATAACATTTATTAAGCACCTGCTATGTGTCAAGCACTGTGCTAAGTATGGGGGAAAACAAACACTAAAAATACAAAGACAGTTCCTGCCCTCAAGGAGCTCACAATCTAATGGAGGAGATGATATGCTAATAAATACATGCAAAGCAAGCTATAATGCAGGATAAATAGGAAATAATTAACAGGGAAGGCACTAGAATTAAGAGGGGTTCAGAAAGGCTTCTTGTAGAAGGTTGGAATTTTAGTTAGGACTTAAAGGAAGCCAGGAAGGTCAATAATCAGAGTGGAGGGGGGAGAGTGTTCTAGACATGGGAGATAGCCTGAGTAAATGCCCAGAGCTGAGAGATGGAGTTTCTCGTTCGTGGAACAGCAAAAAGGCAAGTGTCACTGGATCAAGTACATTTCTGGGAGTAAGGTGTAAGAAGACTGGAAAGGTAGAAGGGGGCCAAGTTATGAAGGGCTTTGAATGCCAAACAGCATTTTGTATTTGTACCTGGAGGCAATTGGAAACCATTGGAGCTTATTGAGTGTGAGTGTATGTGTGTGTGGGGGGGGGGGTGACATGCTCAGACTTGCATTTTAGGGAAATCACTTTAGTGGCCAAATGGAGAATGGAGTAGAGTGGGGAGAGATTTGAGGTAGATAGATCCAATAGCAGGTTATTGCAGTAATTGAGACAAGAGGTGATGCAGATCTGCATTAGCATGATGGCTATGTCAGAGGGAAAAAGGGGGAAGGGTATCATTCAGGAGATGTTGCAAAGGTAAAAATGGCAGGCCTTGGCAATGGCTTGGAAATGGAGGTGAGACAGAATGAGGAATCCAGGAAGATGTCTAAGTTGCCAGCCTGTAGGACTGGGAGGATGGTGTTGTCCTCTATAATAATAAAGGAAGTAAGAGGGGGATGGTTTAGGGAGAAAGGGAATGAGTTCTGTTTTGATATATTGAGTTTAAGATGTCTAGTGGACATCCAGCTTAAGGTGTCAAAAAGACAGCTAGAGATGTAATATTGAAGGTCAGCAGAGATACTGGGGCAGGAAACATAAATGTAAGAATCATCAGCATAAAGATAGTAACTAAATTCATGGGAGTTGATGAGGTCACCAAGTGAAGTAGTGTAGTGGGAGAAAAGAGAAGAGAAGAGAAGAGAAGAGAAGAGAAGAGAAGAGAAGAGAA